GAAGTGCACAAAGATGTTCTGTTTTTGCACTTTCTAACTGCCCTTGGCCCATAACCGCAGTGCCCTGTTATTCCTTCCTGCAAGTTTGCAACTGTGCACCGGTCAACCGCGCAGTTTATTTCCTTTTTTTTTAAACGCCCACTCCAGTGCTAGTGGCGCTGGGTAGGAGGGGAGAGAGAAGAGTGGATTGCCAAGGTCGAATGGAGTGGAGACAGGGGAGATGGGCAGCGGGATACGGAGGAAATGACTCGAGAGAGATTACCGCCTAGTTTTCAAAGACTGGACGAACATAGAGCCCTTGTTCCCACTACAGCCTCCCTCGGATTTCCCAGACCCCTTCCCACCTCATGCCCTTTCCCTGGCGGAGATTCTGACAGTGTCCTGAAATGCCTGATCATCCACCCCCGTATCACCCACACCTACACACACCCACACATGGAATTCCTCCCTGGAGTCCCCCGGGGAGGACTCCACTAGCATACACAACCACCTTCCTTACTACGATCATTATCTGCTGTTCCCAGTTTCCTGGGGTAGTCAATGCTGGAAGTAGCATCTGAAGTATTGAGCTGACATAGGTCAGCATTCCGAGCATTCTGAGTCTTTCATATGTCATGGGACACTGGACCCGGTTTCCAGCAGGTGCTGCTCCCCTTAGAACGGAACCTTGTAAAACATATATATATATATATATATATATAAAAAGGGGGTGCTAGTGGTGCTGGTAACAGCGGACACCACTAGCACCTGGGGAGAGGCTCCATCACCACCCTCAAAATGTGAAAAAGACAAAAATGTGGTGGGTGCATCTGGCCATGTTCTTGAAGCAAGTTCATTCTCAATTTGCACATTTGGAGAGAGGTGTGGTGTGGCCATGCCCTTAGTTGGTTTTTCAGTTGAACTCCCTTCAATTTAGTTGGCTCAGTTTACTTCGTTGCTCTTTGGCTGTAACTGGGCCTGGGCTTTGTTTGTTAATTTTTGGACCTGTGTTTTGGTTGCAATAGATGGCTGTACAGGGGGGGGTCAGCTTCAGATCTCCTTTGTGAGTACCTTTTTTTTTTTTTTTTTTTTGTGAAACGCAGAGGCCCAGTGGCCAAGCCTCATATCATCATTTTTTTTTTTTTTTTTAATTTACAAACACCCTTTTCAACGTTAGTGGTGTTGATAAGAGCAGACACCAGTACCACCTGGGGAGCGGCTCCATCTATTGGTGGGGAGCATCACCTGCTGGAAAGCGGGTCGAGCGTCCCATATACAAACATGAGTTCAGAGCATATCATGAGGACCCCGGCCTGAAATTCTATTTCTCGAGTAATACAAGCCTTGGGCACTGGGCCCGTTGTTTAAAAAAAAAAAAAAAAAAAAGAAGTTTAAAGAACAGAGGTTGTTGTGGAGGTTCCTGCCAGCATTGATTATCCTGGAATCCAGGGGATTGACTGCGTAGGATTTTGGAGAGGGGGGATCCTCTTCACCATGAAACCGGCGCCAGATAACTGGTGTTACATGCTAGTTCCTCCCCCCCCCCGGCCATTGATTATGCTGAAATCCAGAGTACAAACTGAGTAGGATAGCAGTGGGGGTGCCATGGCTCTGCCAATGGCAGTATAGGGTATGTGCCTGCGGTGCTGCTCGGACAAATTTTCTAAGTTGCCATGGCCCTGCTACGTGAGTGTTTTTAGCGCTAGTTTCCCTATTTGGATTGTCGCCTCCCCTCCTCATGGTGCTGCAAGATTTGATTACACGATGAGGGTTTCTGAGTGGGGATATGATCTTATAGAGGATGGGCAGCCGATCCCTGGCTTGAGAGCAATCGACGCTGCTCATTAGGGTTTTTTTTTTTTTTTTTTTTTTTTTTTTTTTTAAGGCCCTTGTGCAAGACCTCTATCCTGGTGGTGGTAAGAGAACCACAGGGATTGAGGCTTTGCCTAGCGGGCTGCTCCATCTATTGGTGGGGAGCAACACCTGCTGGAAACCGGGTCCAGCGTCCCAAAAGTACATCTTTGCCACACAGTACATCAATGAGAGTGACGCCACAGTGCTGGAAACCGGGTCCAGCGTCCATGCTGTGTGCCTGCGTGTCTGTGCATGTACTTTTCTCGTATACATTAGGATGGACACGTGGCATGTTCACATGACTTTTGGATGTTCATAGGGACGCTGGACCCTTTTTCCAGCAGGTGCTGCTTCCCACCAATAGATGGAGCCTCCCCGAGCATGCTAGAGGCGTCTGCTCGTATCAGCGCCCCTAGCATTCACCCGGGTTGCATTTTCTTTAATATATATATATATATATGGGATATGACTATCTGCCCACAGACAGTACTGGCACCAAAGTCAGGGATAGACCACAGTATATAGGGATAAAGATAGGTAGGACCGAGAAGTTTGACAAGTGTTTGATCACACAGCACAGGGATTGACCAAAAGCAGGAGAGGAGAAGCCAGCAGTGTGGGCTTCCCAATAGACATGCCAATGGATCAGGAAGTGCCCAAGGGAGTGACAATGTGAAGATGTGGTGTCTCGTAAAAAAATAAAACAAATATTTTTGTCGGATCAATGTAAAGCAACTAAAAAAAAAAAAAAAAAAAAAAAAGAAAGGATACTTCGTCCCCTTTTTGAAGAACGAAGTTATTGAGATAACACTTGCTGGAAATTGAACTGGGCCAAATCCTCATATTATCAAATTGAATACAACGCAGACACATGCCTCTTCCCATTAGGGCTGGAAGAGCCTCTGCCACTGCTCCCATAGAGACAGCGTCCCTGTACACCGAGAATGGAGATTGAGGGCTGAGCTTTGATTGCTTCCCCAAGGTTGAAGACATGTGGGACAACCTCACTCGTTCATGACATTCTTCGGACTATCTCAAGTCCAGAGCCGGCCATATCACAAACATGGCCCAGGGTCTACAAGAAATCCAAGAATCGATCCCTTTAGCATGGATCCGAATCTTGAAATTGGGCCCCTGCCTCAACGAAAATGATTGGGTGGTGGCGATGGAGGCTTTGGCCAACGAAAAATTGTCCCTCATACCAGGACGGGGCTGCTTTGAGTGGGAAACGTGTTGCATATGCAGTCAATGAATTGCTGTGGTGACTGCCTAGGTCCCTGCACTTCAATCTTCGAAGTACGTCGGACTTTGTTGACGGCATAAATTCCATTAATCAAGCTGTCAAGAAGGATGAAGGTTTGCTTGGGGCATCATTTGACATCAAAGAAATGTTTTCGAACCTACCTCATGTTTCATTCTGAAAGCGCTGCAGTGGGCCATAGATTACTGGTCGGGCAAAGGGTACTCGGGTGTGTTGGTTCGTAAGCATGGGAAGATGGCTCGGCTGACCCGGGCACGTTCTGAAGACGGGTGGCTTCTTATCAAATTCTCTACTCTTTTTCGCTATGTGCGCTTTGATCTTGATCACACATACGTACGTGCTTCGGGGTTGCTCTGAAACAGGTGTTGGGTATCCCCATGGGCAAGTCTACTAGCCCTGCTCTTGCCTGCTTACTTTGTGCCTTCAATGAATCCTGTTTTCTGTCCACC